GGGGGGGGGTTAATTGTCAATACTACGTTCAAACAAAAGATGAAGACTACAACAGAAATGATGCTTCGTTTGCTTGTCAGAACACATAAATTCTGACTATTGTTTGGCTATAAAACGGCTCCTTAAATTTCAATAAGTAAAACCGTCTCCACGTGGCATACAATTACTACTCATAAAATATAGAGTTAGCCCTTGATATCCTAAAATATTATCTTCTCAAGTTTAACTTTGAAGAAACGGCACCGTGTGAGTAAACACTAGCGAAAAGCCAAGCGAACACCACAAAGCCCTTAGTTCACCACCGCGTAGAAGTGGGGCCCGGAACTAAGTTTTAACGTTGGTGGTGACACTACCAATGGACAACCGCTTGTTTTACCACCCCCCCCCCCGCCCTACATCTCTCTATGTCTGAATGAATCATTCACGCATACAAAGTAGCGAGGGCTGACTCAACCAATCAGAAGAGGCGGATGGGGGTTGAGATAAACAACGCTGAGCGTCATGTCTGGTCGAACGAAGTGGACTAACTCACGCCACGCGCCACACGTGTTTAATAAATATGAGTTTGCCAATACGCGGAGCGCGACTACGGCCGCGTAGAGCAATAAATAGTGACCTTGAAGAAGCTGCCATTTGGGTTTGGTAATTGGTTCTCTCAAAACATGATTGGCATGGATTCTTTCTTCTCTGTTAAAAAGACAGTCGAATTCGGGGAGGGGGGAGGGTTTAAGGTTGTACACAATGGCATCTTGAGCTGTAGTAAATCAAAATTAAGGCACCGCAAATAAACCCATGGAAGTAAATTTTTAATCCAAATTAATGCGACAAAAATGAATTAAATCAGTCACAGTCGGTCAGTCGTGCAGATTCCAATATAAAGTCATGGTAATATTGAATTAAACCAGTAGGACACTAAGCGTAACCATCTGGCCAAAACAAATTCAGATTAATGCCAAATTAGAGCCGCAAGAACCTTTCAACTCCTTTGGAAAGCAATTTATATTTACGCCTTTACCATAACCCTGATTATGTAAGGTGCGACAAAACCTGTTGATAATAATGATCTTGGTCTCTGTTTATGCATCCTGTTTGTGGTCGAAAGCATTGCTTTTATACGTGGCATTTTGTATGTGCCCCTGTTTATATAAATGCACGGAGTGCAATAACACCAGAAAATGTAGTGCATTCAAAACACAGGAAGTATTATGGTTTGAGTTAAACACACAGATGCATGGGATGTTTACTTATACGCATAAAAACGGAGCAAGATTCAATAAGCAAAGCTTACTTTAAAAGAGTTAAAATATTCACATGCGTTTAGCACTACACGTTAGACCTACTTGAATAGCCTGTTTCTCGAATTGTGAGATCGAGAGGGTTGATAAATTCCTCCTCAATTTCGCAAAATCCAACTTCACTTCCGTTAGTGGATGTCATTTTTGGTAGCATGTTGACCCAGCGGTAGTCTAAAATGAATTAATTAGGAAGGGATTAACAGAGTCAAAATTGAGTAATGAGAATTGATTTATGTAAAAAAAATTGGAGGCTGATTTTGGAGTAACGATCCATGAGAATCCCTATAAGGTTAAATGCTCTAAACTAACCAAGCAATAAGAAGCATCCCTAATTCAAGAATCAAATTTGTGTAGTGTGGTTGTGGTTCTTTTATTAAGCACTTCCAGCAACACGAAATTATCGATCTACAAGCCAAATTTGAAATTGATTGAATTTGGAATCGATACCTAGATATAAAACTGATTTCTCTAAAATTCCAGAATCAATGTTAATTCTGAAAATACACGTGCAATTCAATTACTTGAGGGAAAATTTAAAACTTAATAAAATATATTTTCAAAATAGTCACATAATTAGGGGAAGTGCCTCTGATCCAACTTCGTTAACAATATGGAGATAGATCATTAAAAGATTCTACCATCTTCCGGAAGACGCCTAGATAATTGCTTCCCCTCTTCCCCCTGCAGAGATAATGAGGCACACTGAGTAACAAGGTCCGGAATCACCCTTCTAGGAGTTAAGATTAGTAACTGCCAGCTAGTAACTGTAAACAGTTAGAAAAAAGAATAGAACACAAAGAGCTGTATAGGCTAGGGTAGGGAGGCGCGTGTACGAGCAGTCAAATGACACGTGTTGTGGGTGAAGTGTGCGTATGGAAATACAACGTTTATAAGAGTCACTAAGACGAGGAGGCGTGTGAGAATAGCAGGGGGGAGGGGGGATTCAGCTGTACTTAAAAACGAAGCAGGACGGGTAGAGGCAAGAAAAGGGAGTCGATGAGCACGTTCAAACATGACAGGCAGGAGTTTGAGTTACAGGGGCATAGAGGAGAATAATCCATGTAATTTTTCCAATAAGAGCATGAATCAAGCGAAAGTTTTGGAATATACATTGTCATACTTCCAATGCACTCAATTACAATAGCACCGACCCCCATAAAATATTAATAAAGAAACGAGCTTTGGGATCATTTGAGAGATGACAGCTTACCATTATTTCCATTATCAAGAAGTCGAGCCTTGTCCGTCAAATAGAGCAATGTGTCGCCTTCGTCAGTCCAAACTGGAATTTCCAGTTGAAATGCAAGATCATTCAAGTCAGTAGATCCGAAGTTTTCTACCAAATAAATGTGCTCAAGTAGAGGCCCCACGTCGTTGCCAAGCGCGATTTTCGTCGAAGCTGTACCAATGGAAACGGTTTTAATCGAAATCACAAATATTTGACAAGCCTTCGCCCTATTAGCCTATTATGCTAATTTCCAGGTCACGTAAGACCACACACACAGGAATGCCTTTTTGGTATCAACAACTTGTGTTCGTGAATTAATAACACAAATAAAATTATTTTTATTGACTAAAAATATATATGTATATATTACCGTTCAAAAATCAAAAAAAACATTGAATATATGCAAAATGTTAAATAGATCAATGGCAAATCTAAAGATAAAGTGAATTTGATCACACTTCCACAAACTAATAATTTGTGATTAGAACAGTTTTCCGGTGACTTAGTTCCAAATCCGAATTCCAAATTAAACACTTTTAAATTGGCAATAAATTAGGGCCCAGGTATAAGTGTAAACCCATTAATGGCACCATCTGTTGGTGTTGGTATTAAATTGTCCGATTTCAATATGCACAATATGCACAGTTATTATACACACCCAAAACCTGTGTCCAAGATAAACAATTTTACAGCCCACTTACAAGCACTTAACATTCTTTGAGGAAGCCGCATCGGCAACAACTCGAAGGAGAGGAATACAATTATCAAAATGAATTATTTCGTATAGTCGATTACTTTATGGCGTCTCGCTTGTAATGATGCTTAAGAAGGCTGATAACAATGAATAGAAAATCTCGTCCAAGTACTGAGAGGCCAATCTCAGGAACACAGACAGATGCAAAAGTCTAGCTTTGAGACTCCATATTTGGAAAATTCTGCCAAACTTTAAGGAGGAAAAATTCGCATTTGAGATCCCTCATATTTCAAACGCTAAAGTGGGTTTTAGGGTTAATTGGCTAGTTCCGGCTACATACCCCCTCTCTTTCTTCACTATCAAACAATATCAGGTAAAGGGAATGGTTGTGAAACGAAAACCCTCATCTCTGAAAACTCCTAATCACTGCAGTGATTAATCACAGACATTTTAATCTCAGAGTCAATTTAAAAGGACAATCCCGAATGCTTAAGAACAACGCGGCGTTAATCGCTTATGAAGAAATAGTAGGCTTCAGGACTAAAATTTCTAAATTTCATAATCTACTTTCAGCTCAATAAACATTATACATAACACTATTCATCCTTGATCATATCCATAACGGTTATAGAAGAGAATTCCCTGGCCATTAGAAGAAAATAGCATCAAAAAATGAATAGACTTACAAGAGAGATGTGGTGGCTCCTTCCGTTCATCAACGAGGGCAGGTGGAGCGGCACCGGGATTAATCCGAATTTGGGGCTTATAGGCGACATCGAAAATCGAAATTGCCACATTTGTCTCCAGGGTGGGATCTTCTATAACAGAAGATACGTTCGCCACGATGCCTGGACTGGTAAATTTGTCTATTTCCTCTGAATCCTCGCTTTTCTCATCTTCATACCTCGCTGGGGCCAAACCAGAAAGGAAAGTGTCCACAATGATGAACAGTTGCTGATCTGGATCAATAGCCGTATCCTGTTGGGAAGTAATCAAAGCGGCGGCTCCGTTATTGGGAAGATTAATTGACCATCGACTAGTAGGTCGATCACTTGTTGCCAATAGAACACCGGTAGAGGCATCCTTCAATTGAACTTTATTGATTAGAACTCGAATCCCAAGTTGTGTTTCATTTTTCGGCCATCCCAGTGTCTTGAGAAGTACCCGAATACCTTCAGATCTAGTAGGACCATTGTTTCGGAGAACAAACATTAGGGTCTGGTTGACATCTTCTCGTCGTCCGAATTGAACAGGTGTGTGGGAATCGGCCCCACCATTTATGGATATTTGAAGATTTGCGCTGCATTTTGGGTGAGGGGGACAGAGATAAGTAGGTGGCGGAAGTTTCCAGACACAATCGGACCAATCTATCAGAGGTTGAGTGGATTTTGGACAACTCTGAGTGTATCCAGCGCACTGTGAGTCGGGAAGAACTGATCGGAATGCTACATGGAGGGGGATAGTGTCCAATTCCATGAACTGAGCATCTTCTTGAGCCAACAGTTTAACATTTGCGGAAACACTTCCACTACTGCTAACACGGATATCAGACATCTCTTTCAAAGTGAATCTAGGTTTAGCCGGATCGAGTTTAAAGGATTGTTTTATAAAAAGCAGTTCGTTCAGGAAATCGGTAGAGTTAGGGTATTTGCTAAGGAAGTCATAACGTTCTAGCCATAGAATGTCAGGGTTAACTTGATAAGATCGGGCCTTGAAGTTAGAAGGCGCTGGAAATGATTTTCCATTGATTGAATCGATGAAATTGGCAGTGAATCTAACTGTGATAATATCGCCTTTCCGGATTTGATTGGCGGTGATCCGAGGTTGGAATCTGGAAGAACACCTTGCTCGAAGTCGAAGAGGAAGAGAGTAGAGAAGGAGGGGAACTTTGGGATCAAATGTTGTCACCGCTAATTCTGGTCCACCATCAGAGTCTACATCGATACTTCGACTGAGTGATACACCAAATCCGGCTGCACTATTCGGTGCTTCTAGAATCTACAAGATAAAACCGCATTTAAAACAATCTTTCGCTGTAGAAACAGGTAAAATAAAAGAGCAAAAATGCCTTTTAATGCAAGTATATAAGCAATATGCAAGATTTTTTGGATGATACTGGTGGTAAATTTTGTTCTAAAAAACGATCAATGTAATTACTTAAGACTCAATTTAAGAGACTTAAAGAGCGACAAAGTAGCAGCTGTCTTCAGTAGAGAAGGGAACATCACGAAGCCTCAAATTTAGTCACCTCTTCTATTAAATTTTATTAAAACAGTGTGGTTGGTCATTCTACTGACTGGAATAAAACGTAGGGCACCAAACCCGCGGTAATTAACTTTGCCGATAAATTAACAACAGCTAAAATACATAATTCTAGTACTTTAACACCCTGATGAGCTCTCGGTGTTTTATTCAGAAGAAAGGCAGTTTGTTACTAAAAGGATAACATTTTCAGTCTAATAGGAAAATGAATATTGCCCAATGTTTATTATAGAGAGAGGAAGATAGCAAGTACAAGTCAACTATTTTGTAGGAATGCAAACATCGTGGAGTGTAACCGGTTGGTTGAAGTTAAAATTAACCTTCGAGGTATTTTCCCAGTTTGTCTATGAAACTTGATTCTTCACATTCAAGGAACTAACAGAGGTCTGATTCTTAATTTGTGGTCCTTTCCAGCATTAATTATCAACCTTCCCCGTTTAGGTCGTTAAAATCTGGGCGATTGGGTTAGTTATTTACGTCTAATCTTTGGAATAAACAGCAGATTACTTTGCCCTATGTCACGCGTCTTATCTTCATTACTCCATCTTATAATCTCGGGTGTGTAAACCTTTTGAACTAAAGTTTGAAGTAGTCGATAATAAGGGTCGACTTGTGAGAGAGTTACAGGCGATTGTCTACTTCCTCTAAGCCATTCCAAACTAATTTATCCTACTTCCACTACATAATTTGTCAAACTATTCAGCCATTTCGAAGAGCAGTGATGTTTATTCAAGAATGTCACCCATTTAGTAAAAAGGTCAAATATAACTCACCACACCACTAAATAAAGCACGGTCTTCTTTGTGTAAACACTTTAAAGTGCTGCCAAAAAAGGGGGAGGGGGCTTAAACAATCTCGTACTTGGAGTGTCGTCCAGCAAATGTAATCAAAATTGGTGAATTTGGTAGCTTTGAGGGCGCGATTTATCGCACGAGTTTACTGTTATGAACTAACAAAAAGTCATCAAAATTTGGCTGGCATTTAAAAATTTGCACAAAAGGGAATTGGTCACCTTTCAATAACCTCCTTCCCCTCCTCTTCTTAGCTTAGCTACAAATATTGAGAGTTGAGGGCATCAGATAATTGGGGAGAAAATCCTCCTGGACTGTATTCAATTCTGCTATTATTGCTGCAAAGCGAAATATTGCCATTTTTAACGCAGAACAGTAAAATAGGCCCATAAGTATCAAAAAGGTGGCCGAATAGACGGGTATTCATAGTCTCATCAACAGATATCCCTTCTTCATGCTCCAGGAAGCTGGTGCACTCTAGGCAACGTATACTCGTACACCTAAAGGTTTATAAACCGGCAGTTAACTTCTAACTCCAAACTACCGTGACCCCACTGTATGTCATATTCGACCCCTTTCACAGTACTCACCTTACCTTTCACTCTACCGCCGTGTCTACCTCTATTACATCTGTGAATCATTATTCTGTTCCCCCTCTCCACTTTTGTAGGCTTGGTGACCCTCCTCTCTGTAAAGTCCGAAGTCCGAAGGGCTAACGATAATTATCATAAAGCCTGCCATTTGATATAAATAAATATTCCAAGACGCTAAATTTCATATTTCAGGATTTGGTTCCTTGGTCTGTGAGAGTGAATGCGTGGAAGCGATAACCAGAAATTAATGAGTAGTTGATTAATCTAAATGCCCCATTGATCATATCAACTTTGATTCACATGGCAAATACACAAGAAGAAAGGCAGGAAATACCAGGGTTTTAGCACACCAGAACACACACACACTTTCTCAGACAGTGAAATTACTTCAAATTGTCATTTATAAAATGTCAAAATTCAGCATTGACGGTGACGTTTACATCTAATAGTAAATCAGACAGAAACACGCTAATGCCAAACAATTATTTTCCATCTCAAA